CCCCTACCAAGCATATGCTATTCATTTTACATGCACTTGAATAGTTCACACGATGACAAAGCAATTCACCGTCAAAATAATGGAAAATCCAAAATTTGTAGTATCGCCTGCGCAAGGTTCCAAAACACTTGGATTTAGGCTCTTTTTGTGATTGCTTTCATATCTAACCTCATTTCACTTCTGTTAATTTGATAAAAAAAAATCGAACAAAAAATTTATCTGATGACCTGGAAACTTCTTTGGAAAACGAAAGATTTTTTGGGTACCAAGATATGATAAGGTCTGTGAACTTACAAAACCTATGGGAAAAAACTAGAGTCTCGAATATAATGAGTTATTTAAAAACAACATGTTCTGTGATCAAATAAATAGCAGTAGGTTTTTCTCCTTGCTGCTTCTAATATACTGACTGATGATCAGTACTTATCTTCTCCTGACTAAAGATTTCCCTTGCATTAAATGAACATAAATTCCATCTCTTATCCGCAACTCTTCCTATACCACTGATACTCTTACAGATTCTTTATTTCATATTGCCATTGTGGACACATAGTTTGGGTTTCCCAGAGCAAGACACGGACACGACCACACTTTCTATAGTAATGGGGGTACCCATCTCTTATCCGCAACTCCTCCTATACCACTGAATAAAATTTACTGAAACTTTCAAAGATTCTTTGTTACATAATGCCATTGTGCACCTTTAATTTCAAGTTTTGATATGTCAATTATTTTGGGTTTCCAGATCAAAAGATGGACTTGACATTATAACCCTATGGGAGGCGGGGGTTATCCTTTAGTGAGCTCACAGTACCTCCAGTTTTATACACATATTTTTGCATTTAATCAGGGGAAAAGAAAAATAAAGTTTAATTTGCATATATAAGATACTTTAGAGCTTAATTGTTGTTGTTCATGAATGATCTAATAGAATATGTAAAATTAAAAGCTAATATCGACCTTATAATACTGGAGTGCAATACCTTAGACTTTGAGGAAAATCGTGTACACACAAAACAATAGACACTTATTCAGTATACATTTCCCTATGCATGAATGCAAAAATCATGGATCTAGATTTTGTATTTAAGGGTCGATTCAGTAATAAAGGTGGATTTTAATTGCCTGTATTTTTATGCTCCCGTAATCGAAGATTCTAGGGTATAAAATTTTTGCCATGTTCGTCCGTCTGTCTGTCTCTTTATATGTTAATCTGTTGGTCTGGTTGTCCTCTGTCCGCAAAAACTTTAACCTTTCAAATAACTTTTGATTGGTTGAGGCCATGGCTTTCATATTTAATATGTGTATTCCTTGTGACAAGACTTTTCTTTGGATACGATGAAATTGACCCTTTGACCTTGGAGTTTGACCCAGAGTTTGCCCTTTTTTTTGTACATAACTTTAACCTTGGCCATAACTTTCAAACAGTTAGTGCTAGGGCACTAGGGGTATGAGAATGTTATCATACTTCACATATGTAATCTTTGTGACAAGACGTTTTTATTGGTTACCAACAACTTTGACCCTTTGACCTTGGAGTTTTACCTACTTTCAAAAATTTTAAATTTGGTCATAACTTTTGAATGACTGGGGCTAGTACTTTCATACATAGCATATGTAATCCTTCTGACAAGACGTTCTATTGGATATCAGCAATTTTGGCCCTTTGACCTTGGAGTTTTGCCTACTTTAAAAACTTTAACCTTTTTATTGAAGATTTCTTTTGAACGGTAATTGCTAGGGCTCTCATAATATTAACATATGTAATCGTGTGTCAAGTTCTTCCTTTAGATACCAAAAACTTTAACCTTTTGACCTTGGAGTTTTACCTACCTTTACAAAAACTTTAACCATGTCTATAACTATTGAACAGGTGGTGCTAAGGATTTTTTTACTTGACAAGTTTTATTTCATTTCTTGTAAGAAGACCAGGTCCTTACTTTGGGTACCAATATATTAAATGTATTTGATTTGCATTTGAGAAGATTTAACCTTTGCAATAAGTTGCCATACGGGGGCATTAGTGTTTCAGAAACATTTTTTATTAAGATACCAGGCATTTGAAAATGTTGATACAATACAACAATCTGTAAAATATTCATGTAATTCTTTCACTTTTCTATTTCATAACATTGAATCAAATGAAGTTTTTATTGCTTTAAAACAACACATTTGTTTAATTCTTGCATTATTTTATTGCATAACGAATAAGAAACATTCTGAATTTAACATAATTATATAAAAGAGGTATGGCGGTTTCCTTGGGATATGATATGTATGAGGACTTCAATTAACAATTGCTTTAAGAAATATTCAAAGGACTGTTTATTTATGAACAAAAAATGTCTAAAAAATTAAAGCATGCGGCAAGGAAAGAAATGTCTAAGTTTTGAAAATTTCGGACAAATGTCCCCTTCAAGGTTTGACTAGTTATTTCCTTCGGAGCTACTGAGAGAAATGTTACTGGTTTTAAAAACGCATTGGTTACTTTATGCTAGTAAATCTGTAGACAGTGCAACTCTAGCCGGGAGAATTCTTGGGTACACATAGTCACAGCATAAACGTTTTTCATCTTCTCACTATAGAGTTTCGAAAACTAATTCTGATACTTGGTGGCCTGATAGGCTAACTGTGACATCGCGGTACAGCCTTTCACAGGAAATATAAATTCTCCTCTACCTCATTGGCAGAGAGGACACAGTGCGTATAGGGCAACGTGGGTATCGGACAACGGAAGTACCTCTGAGATGGGGTCTATATATTTGAACAACATTATCATACTGTTGAACTAAAGGAACTTTTGAATATTTATCATGCAACTTTTTTTTATCGGTTCGTATAATCAATCAATGGTAAAGGGTTTTCAGCGGTAATTTTTGTTTAAACCAAATGAACATATGCATGTAAAACCGTCATACCTCTTATTTTGTGCAGAATCAAAATGTTGCTTTATGGAATTTAAAGACATCTAATTTACCAAAAAATAATGAATTTTCAAGCTATTTAACATAGAATTTAAATAACTTTGCAGAAAAGATGTAAAAAAGATATCACAATTTTGGGGGGAAATTTCGGTTTGTTATCATAAGGTTCCTGTAATGACGATGGATGCACATGTTCTGGGTATCCTTTTACATCAATCTCAATAACAAGGCTGCTTTGGGTAGAAGGATTTCAGCACGAATTTCTTGGTCCTGGGACTGTAGGCAAAAACCTCCTCGCATCGATCTCCCTTCTTTATGAACAGTATAATCCTCTTCATCTCGTAAGCTTTGCGGAAGCTATAAATAGTGCAATTCTTTACTTATAAATAATACAATCCTTTATTTATGTAGCATTTAAAGTTAAGAATTAAGAAATTTTGACTTAAATTTTTTTTATATAAAATATGCCTATATCTTTATATAATTAATATGTAAAATTCTTTTTTAATGCTTATAAACAGTGGCCAGGTTCGGTTTTGAATGAATTAGTATTTTGGTTCATATGTACATGTATCATTGTACAAGTTAAAAAAAACAGACTTACAAATAATACTTGTATTCCGGGCGGTCCTCTCCGAGGGCTTTGGGTGTAGTTGTTTTGGGGAGAAATGTTTCTGGGGGTAGCCTGGGCCCTGATTTCTGCGGAGTTACATTATGTTCAGGTTTTCGAGGAAATATGCGATCTATATAAAATAGATATTCCATTACAGTAAAACATAACAACGTGTCTAAAAAATATTATGGTTATATTGTAATATAAAATACTTCATACCCTTTATATACCAGATGCCATTCTTCATTCCCTGCACAGCTTGACAAATCACAGATTTGGTCCAAGTCATCACCTTTGGTGCTACAGTGGAGGCCAAAACAGCTAAAGTCGATATCCCCATCTCCATAGCCATCTATCTCAGAAAAAAAAATATTTATGTGAAGTATCTTGTATTTCAATTAGTATTTATGTTAAATGAGGATTGAAAAAAGAAAATTTACTCAGACCCTCAAAAAATTAAGTTATATACCAGGCACGTAGGAACCGGGCTGCCCCCACTTTTTTCACGAACATTACCTTTACTATAGAATACGTCCATTGAAGAGATGGTTGCCCCCCCCCCCCACTTTTCACCACTGTACATTTATAGCAAGGAAATATAGGAAAAAATTTGAAGTGAAAGGAAGCTGGCCTTGAGAAAAGTTGGCCACCCCCCCCCCCCCACCCCCCGAAATAGGATTTTCGAGTTTGGGCAATTATCTAATTTTCCTGGGTTTTTTGTTTTTTTTTGCTTGTCAACTTTTTTTTAGGTAAGTAAAAAAAAATTCTCAGGTTGCCCCCCCCCCCACTTTCTAAAACGATGCTACGTGCCTGTATACATGTAAAATTGTAGTAACTAGTAAGATTATATATTAATTTAACTCACGGTGTGGAGATCTACTATCCCTGGACAAGGTTTGGGTTCCTCTAACACGCCTAACCACAAACCAAACTTCTCAATTCTGTTAAGGGATACTTCCCTGCTGTAAATCATTAGTATACCAATAAATAAAACAATTGTGTTATTTCTAAATATGTTACATTACATATAAATTTTGTTGCTGCAAAAATATATATTTTATAGGCGTTTACATATGCATGTACATATAAAATAGCTCTTGATGCGGAGGGAGAGGAGGTCTTAATTGTTGCCATAATGTTAGCTTGTCAACATTCCCTATTCCATCCCTCCTTTTGGTATCCTGTACATAAACTGAATAAATTCGACAAGCTTAGGTCCATAACTTGAAAACTATCAATGATAATTTCTTTTTTCAAAAAAAATTTATTTATTTAAAGATCTCCGTAAGTCAATGGTTTTCGATCCATTTCACTCTCTGCAAGAGAAGCGGACTGAAAACCCTTGACTTGTGATTTTTTTCTTTGAAGCTTTCCTGATTTTGACTTGTTTAACTTACCATAAGAAGAACTCTTGATGCTTGACTGTAAGTACCAGTAGAATCAGTGACAGAACTGTGGTGATGTAATCTCTCTTGTTCCAGTTGAAGACAAAGTAAGCCATTTTTAACTCTTAGAAATTGACAAATCAATATAAAGAGCAAAGGCTAAATATGTCTGTCGATAATGGAAACAACCTTTGTGACGTCAGAGTAATTATGACGTCACAATACATATCACATCACGTGATACAACAAGAGTGTAAAATTATGCCTTATTTTTGGAAATAAGGCCAGGTGAAATAATAGTTTTCAAACCCATATATAATCAATATCAAAAGGTATCTATCACTGGCGGATTTAAAATTTTCCAAGTATATATGACTAATATTAATAATGCCATATTTTGGTACATAACTAACCAATACCACTATTAACTCTTCAAATACACGAAAACCCAGGAGCCTCATGGGGCTTCGCCCCATGGGCCCCCACCAGGGCTTCGCCCTGGACCCCACAGGGGGCCTTATGGTGGCCCCCAGACTCCCTGCCTGAACAAAGTTATCCATGCCCCCTCCCTAATCACAAATCCTGTATCCGACCATGTCTATTTCAAATAATTGGAGTACCTCCTCCCAAGAATCATGCTGTCATTACAATATCAGAAAAAAGGCAGAGGCAAACTATGTTTTCTCCGTTACTCATCCTGTTAATCATAAAGCATATTGTTAGATAACCGTTATGGATTTTATTCTTGTAAAATATACAAATACAAAACAGATGTGTTCTCTATGTGTCAAACTCTTCCGTGTCTTTTATTTCAAGCTAACTGGGATACGAGTATATCGTGTCGACGCATGAATATTCTTTTATATTATAGGAAAGACAACTCAGTATTGTGAAATAAAAAGAAGTCCTTGAAACGTTAAATGATAATAATAATTGAAAGATATCTTTTAAAAAGAATTGATCAATGAATACTAATAAGTTTATTAGCATGTAGATTAAACAATGTTTTATAAAATACTTAAAATTGGAAATATTGTTAACTTCTTACAATAAACATTTTGGAAATATATTTTGAATTTATAAAAAAAAAAAACCAAAAGAATATATGTGCAAGCGAAAAATTTATATTTAAAAAAAAAAAAAAGTAAAATAGAAATGGCTGCGTGTGACTTGCAATTGAATATACTGAATTGGTATATTTTTTTTATCAATAGCCGTGTCAGCCCTGTATCTGGAAGAGAATATTAATTTATACTATACTTTCATTTAAATTACTTGAATCTGATTCATCGAGAAACATTTGATAAAAAACACTACTACCCGCTGAATAATGAAACGACGCCCTCCTGCGTAGCAACAGTCAACATTGCTTGACGACGGGTGGTATTCCAAAAAATAGCGACTGCGCGGAATCTATGCGCACACGGTTCACTGTAATATGTATTTGTATAAAACATTCAGTATAATATAATAAATATTGCATGTAGTTGAGTGTAACATTGAAAATTTTCACCCCAAGAAAACCATTGTCAACCGAGGCGCAGCCGAGGTTGACAATGGTTTTCTTGGGGTGAAAATTTTCAATGTTACGCTCAACTACATGCAATATTTTATATAATGTGTTCATGAAAACTTTTGAAAAAGTACTCTTTAAGAATGTCAGTATTTGAATATGGAAATGGGAAAATCGCAATGTATACTGTTTTATAAAAAATATTCTAAACAATCATACGAGAGTCTTGGTTCCTAAATTATGGTCTTATTTATGTTCTACTGTCATAAACGTAAAAACATACGGTAAAAGAAGTGACACTGAAACTTAGACAAGAAAGATAATTCTGGAAGACTTAATCAAGCAACACATAATAAACCACCTCCTTGTAAGTCAATGGGCAGCCGCCAGGGTTTTCAACGGGATAAAGTTTCCTAAAGACAATCATATATATTAAAAAATAATTCAAATCATACATGCATCTTCATTTAAAGTGTATCCTATTCAATGAGAAAATGAGGAAGACATCCTCCATTATGAACTAGATACAATGCAGTGGGTATACATTTATTAGCTCACCTGAGCTGTAAGCTCAAGTGAGTTTTTCTGATCACATTTTGTCTGTAATCCGTCTGTCTATCCTTCCCTCTGTAAACTTTTCACATTTTCGGATTCTTCTGCACTTGGATTCCCGTGGTTCTCCTATGTCGAAGGCAATGCCTGATAGGGGGTCTAAAGGAGACCAAAAATCAGAGGTTACTTTTATTTCACTGTCATTGTATATCAAGAAAAAATATGAATGTTGAAAGAATGAATAATAAATTTTAAAAAGGAATTATAGGCGAATGTTGATTATTGAATAATTGAAGCAGTAATGAATTATGTATTAAAAATTCAGAATAAATATTATTTGCAGACGAGGATGTTGATTATTTTGAATGTGACTGATTAATAATACCCCCGAGATCTTCTGCAGTGCAGTCAAGATAATTACTAATAATCCCACGGGAATCATGGAAGATTTTTTGTCTCTTTTTAACCGAGTTTAAGTAATTTTCGGATATAGTATACTAGTATCTTAAAATTATTTCATTCATACATAAAGTTGAGAATCTCTCCGAGCCCACCATCTCAGCGACTTACAGAACCATACTTTTGAACATATGATAACATAACATGTCTTATTGCAGTATTGAAACAGCATAAAAAAATTATGAATAATATTAGAAGGAAGAACAATTTCCTTAGAAAGTTAGCACATGCATTAAAAGGATATGGTTTTGGATTAGTTTAGATACCCTTTCTCCTAGTTAAAAATTTATTAATATTTTGTATATTACTTTAGATTCTCGCAAATAAATTACACAGATTACGTAACTGAGAAATTCGTTTTCATGCGCAGTTAGATCAGTTTATCATGAGTACGACATATTTTCAAAAACCCTTTTAATCATCCACAACAAATCAAGTCTTTGTTATAAAATACATGTAGTTAGAAAATCTTATACAGTTTGGTAATTGTACATGGGCTTAGTATTCAATTTATTCTTTCAATTATTCACAATGATTTTTTGTAATAAAAAAGTTAAGAAATCGTACAGTTTGGTCTTTGAACATAGGAAGAATTCTTACAATCCATTGATTCACAACAAATTAAGTCTCTTGAAGTGAACAGGTTTATTTAGTCATGTCGGCCTACTTTGAAGAAAAATAAATTACATCTATGTTATCGGGACTTATGACCTGCAGGGGAATAAATTCTTTTTTGCTGGAATTGTGAACATGGTGTGAATGTGTGTTCTGATAAAGATTGCTTAATCTTAAGATGCAAACTTGATAAATGGTTTCAAGGTAATTTGTATCACAACACCCTTGGGGAGATTTTACCATTCAGATTCAAACATCTATGTAATTCGGTCTGACCGTGGATAGTTCAAACAAACTCTTAACAGATCAATTTTCTTATGTTCTTGATTTTCTTTAGTTTATCATGCATTTCCAGGTGGGACTGTTTTGACTGAATAATATGTAAAGAAAGATCGGTACTATTTAATGTCTTCTCCAAACCATCCGTGATAACCAGTTCATACTTTACATAATGCCACAATAAAAAGTTATCATTCTCCCGCGTCGTTGGTGATTCTCGTGGTTACTTTCGCTTTGCTAGTCCGTCGGGATGCCTGGTCACGACTGCACGTTCCTCACGCGCCTTGACCCCCACAGGTGCTTCTGTCCCCTCTGTCAGCTTCCGATGAAGGACCCCGTCATCATTTCGTCGTGTGGACACAGATTTTGTGACGTTTGTCTTCAAGAATACTTCAGGTGAGGGAGATTTTTTTTCTATATTTAGAAGATTTCAGATTAAATCAGCTGTTCTTATTTTATCTATGTCAAGGTATTTCCAGGTGTACACATTGTGTCCTATTTAGGAAAATGATGTGATGTTCTAAATGTTAAAATTGGTGTTGTTTAAAATGAAAGGAAATGTGAGAGAGCAGAGGAGATTGTTTTTAAATCTATTTTGGTAAGATGACTTGATTATGCTAATAAACAATGTTATTTTGCACTTTTTTGGTCAGTAAAAATAAGATTGGATAATATCTTAAAATACACATAGTATATAAGATCTTTACTAAGGTGAAATGTTTATTTACAAAAAGATTAAGAATGAGAGGCAGAAAATATTTCAAGTAAGTTAATAATTATTGAATTATTTGCTGTATATATTTGATTTTTTCTGCATTCATTTGTTTTGTTAGAATGGTTTTAAATCAGTTGATCACAATGTATAGTCTATGTTACTTGTATGTATCACCTACTGATATTATTGGCCTCTGAGTTTTGTAAGATATGGGTTTTTGCTTTCAGAATTATTACAATAAAATATTAATATCATATTGATTGGGGGCTCTGTAATTTTTATCGCCACTTAATGGTGTGTGATGAATGCTGGACATTAATTCAATATAAACAGGGCAGGTGCCTGAATATGATACACAAATCACCTTAATTGATTCACAACTCTAGGTGGACCACTCAATAAACTGCCCACAGCAATGGACTTTTTATACTGCTATTTATTAGTGATAAAACAAGCACCTGCAAATCAATACCAAACCAACAAAATGTCAGCCCCACTTATGATAGAAAAAGCGATAATTATCTGATTTTTAAGATTTTGTTTTCTTTTGTGGTCACATAAAAGCATTATATGAAGAAAAATCTTTCACAGGTACATGTAGGTTCTTTTCTCTCTTTGTTAGGGATGTGTAAAGAGACACACAATTTGTTTAAATACACCCATCAGAGTGTGATCTAGATTTTTGAAAGAAAACATATAATTTAAGTGTAAACAAAACATTTCCTCCCCTTTATCTGTGTGAAAGGTGATCTAATATGGAGCCAGTTTGTCAAGACATGGTGATCTTCGAGCTGACATGGTGAGATTTTGAGGGGTACTATTTCCTGTTTATTTTGGGGTGTGTGTTGCGGGGGTATAGTGATTGAATTAGAAATATCTTCAATCTGTGGTCAACCATTTCTTATCCCTTGGATTACAGTATCGTTGATTTCATGCACAGGAAGTCTTCCAGGTATTGACAGAACAGCTATTTAAATATTGGTTTTTAGCATGACATATGAGAGTTAATCTGTCAGCCAATTGGGTAAAATT